TTTTTACATCTTGAAACATCTGCTTGCGCCATTTCCAGAACTCTAGAGTTTGATTTGACAACAACTTGAGAATCTGGGTCACTTCTATTTACTTCCAACTGGTAGGTTGACCTCAAGTGTACTTCACCGGCGGTTGGAGGATATTTTTACAGAGATCACTTACCACCCCTCACAATGCAGATAAGGAAATCCCAAAGTGGGTTTTCGACTGGTGACAAAGTCTACCTTCAGAAGCTTACAACCAAAAAGCTTCAGGAGCTATCCGCTGGTCATGGGGAGTGGAACCCACAAATGGAAAGGGTTGGTTTGGCACTCGTTTCTACTTTTGTTTACAAAAGTCACGGACTCATAAAACGTTTTATAAACTTCTGAAAAACATTTTAATGTTTAATCCTTGCTGTCTGATTTAGGGCTCAGAGATCGTGGAAGCCTCAGTACTGAATTCTTTTAAATAAGGAAACATTGGCCCTTCCCTCTCTGAGAGTAAAATTTCTTTGGTCTCTCTTGCATATGCTCGTTTAAGTCGATTGAAATTTTGTTGACAACCAGAATTTAAGAACAAGTTCACATGTATCCACAGTATACAGGAAAAATTGGTGTGGTGCAAGATTTCACAGCCAATGGTGATGTTGTTGTAGAGTACCTCGACAGAAGATGGATTTACAATCCAGCAGCTTTGACAAAGGTAATTCTCATTTGTCTCAATTCTCATTTGTCTCGCCAGGAAGTTTTTATTTCATATTAGTTAACTACATTTGTGTTATGAGAAGGCTCTGATTGTTTTCCATTTTCTAATTGTCATAAAATTGGCATCAAGTAGAATATAGGGAGGAGCTTGGAGGATGAAAAAATGTAGAGAAAAATATGTTGCACCTGACGGTGTAAGTTAAACCATGTAAAAATTTATATGTAATGTCCAAACTCATACACTCAAAGTGTGTGTATTTTCTGACCGCACACAAAAGAGAAGGTGTGGTTACTGATACTTAAAAGTATCATAATTCGATTAACCGTTCAACAGGAATCAGCGATATCGAGTGGGACGGGAAACACTTTAAGAGCTAGCTAAAGGACATTCTACAGGCAAAGTTAAGTTGTTTTTTTTTTACCCAGGTACAACAATTTAAGAAAGGCGACGAAGTCGTTGTCAAAAGTGATAAGAACTTAGTCAAAGAGCTCCAAAAAGATCATGGAGGATGGAACGAGGCTATGATATCGGTAAGTTTTTTTTCACTTTTTTGCTGTTTTAATTTTTTTTTTTTAAGTATATACTTTCTCTTTATTAGTTTGGTTGTCAATGAAGGTTTTTACTCAGACATAAATGAAAACTGCCGTGGGCATGTGTGAAAGCTAAAAATGTTAACTGAAACAGGCTAGAACTGTAAACGATAAAAGCTACAACTTTTTGGCCAATCACACGTGTACCTCCAGCAGCTATTGTA